ATATTGCAGCTGCGGTTCTTGAAGAAGAAAGTCGGTACAAGAGCAAAGAAGATAGACTGGGAAGCTTACAGCAGGCTGAAGCTTTGACGATGACGAGAGGGAGATCAACGGAACGTGGCTCCAGTGGGAGTCATAATCAAAGTAGGACTAAGAAGAATGCTAGTGTCATTACTGTGACAAGAAATGGCACTTAAAAAAGGGATTGTTGGAGTCTCAAGAAGAATGAAAAAGCCAAAGGAAAAGGTTGTTAGACATCAAAAGCTCAGGGTTGTGTAGCAAACACCTCAAATGATGGTGAAATTTTATACAGCGAGGCAACAACAGTTGTTGAAGGCAGAAGAAAATTCACTGAAGTCTGGCTTATGGACTCAGGAGCAACATGTCATATGACCCCCAGGAGAGAATAGTTCCACCAATATGAGCCTATCTCAGGAGGATCTGTATTCATGGGAGATGATCATGCCTTGGAGATTGCTGGTATTGGTACCATCAAATTGAAGATGATGATGGTACAGTTTGCACCATTAAGGAGGTACGGCACGTGAAGGGCCCGAAGAAAAATCTGTTGTCTTTGGGACAATTAGATAATAGTGGGTGCAAAACCCATATTCAAGATGGGATCATGAAAATAGTTAAAGGCACGCTTGTGATGATGAAAATGGAAAAAATAGCTGCAAATTTGTACATGCTTAAAAGAGAAACACAACAAGGAGAAGTATCTACTGTGTTGGCAAGTTCGGCGGAAGAATTAACGATGATGTGGCACCGTAAACTTGACCATATGTCAGAACGAGGTTTGAAGATTCTTGCTGAACAAAAGCTTCTTCCAGGGCTTCAAAAGGTTTCATTAGCCTTTTGTGCATTATATTACTAGTAAACAACACAAATTGAAGTTCAGCAGTTCCACTGCCAAAAGTAAGGCTATCTTAGAGTTGGTCCATTCTGATATTTGGCAAGCACCGCTTATATCCCTAGGAAGTGCAAGATACTTTGTATCTTTTATTGATGATTACTCTAGGAGATTTTGGGTGTATCCAATCAAGAGGAAGGTAAATGTATTTTCAGTTTTCAAAATATTTAAAGCGCGAGTGGAGCTTGAATCTTAAAAGAAGATCAAGTGTATACGGACATATAATGGATGAGAATATATTGGTGATGAATTTCATAACTTCTGTTAACAAGAAGGTGTCAAGAGACAGTTCATTGTGGCATACACTCCACAACAAAATGGAGTAGTAGAGCGGATAAACAGAACCTTATTAGAATGGACAAGAACAATGTTGAGAATTGCGGGGACGGCCAAGTCATTTTGGGCAGAAGCAGTTAAGACTGTCTGTTATGTGATCAATCGGTCATCATCAACCGCAATTGATCTTAAAATGCCAATGGAAATGTGGATTGGTAAACCAACTGATTATTCTCGTTTACATACATTTGGAAGTCCTGTGTACGTTATGTAAATGTCCAAGAAACATCAAAACTGAATCCAAAATCTAGAAAATGTATTTTCTTAGGGTATGCTGATGGAATTAAGGGGTACCGCCTGTGGGATCCCACTGCCCACAAGGTGATAATCAGCAGAGATGTGATATTTGCAGAAGGTAAAGTG